GTCCAGTAGGAATATTCGGGCACCACCAGATTGGGGATCTCCACCACCTCCTCCTCCTTGTCGGAGTTGACTTGTTTCCTGCCCAGGTAGCTGAAAAGAGAGAAGAACAGAACAACAGAGTTGGAAGGGACCCTGAAGGTCATCTAGTCCAAAACTGGGTTTTTTTCTTCTTCCTTTTTTCCCAAAATCATCTCTTTTTCCCCCCCCAAAAAACTGGTTTTTCCCAATTTTTTTTCCCAGACCTTCCCCTAGTCCTTTTTTTTTTGTTAAATTAGACATACCCAACACAGAGGAAGCCTCCCTCAGCACCGTCCAGGCAAAAATCCAGAAAAACAAAGAGTCAAAAGGGACCTTGTAGGTCATCTAGTCCAACCCACCCACCCACCCCGCCCAAGCAGGAGACCTTACACCATTTCTGACAGACGGCAAATCGCACAAACCACGTGACGTACATCAGGTCCCAATCGAGTTGCGTCCGTTCCAACGCGTCCATCAGCTTCACCAGGTGCCTCTTGAAGTAAGCCTCGAATCGGATATCGTCTTCCAGCACAAGGGATTTTTCCAGCCCCCTCTCGACCACCTGAACGACACGCACAGGAATAATAGACCAGGAATAATCTTACTAGCAGCCTTTCCCCCCCCCCTCAGATTAAACATGCTTTGAAACTAAGTCACGTTTAGTTCTGATTTTGTTCATCCCGGTCGCCGGGACGGCCTCAAAGGCGCAAGGATGGCGCCTGGTTTGGAAAAGGAAAGACAAACCAGATTCAAACAAGGATCTGACCTCTTTCCAGACGTGGTGGTGACTGAGGAAGCAGCCAACTTCCCCTTTGGTGAGGGTCCTCCCCGAAAAGGGGTCGTAATATCCGGGCAGTAAGTCGATGCCAAGTTTCTTGATGCTGCTGCTGTTCAGGGCTCTGGCGGAGAGAGAGAAAATTTATTTATTTATTATTTATTATTTAAATTTATATAATCAAAGTATTGTTGTGAGGATGTGGGGAAAGCGGTCCAGACAGAGCCCAATTGTGCCTTTGGCGAGATTGGGAGACTTTGGGAAGGCGTTTGCGTCCCAAGCGACACTTAAGGGGTAGACTGCTCCTGAAACTGGAGGCTTCGTCCCGGACAAAAGCCTTCGACCAAAAGCTCGGCCTTGCGATCTGCCTCTCGGCCAGGACCAAAGTCCAGGAGCCCTTCCAGGTTGGAAAAGACCACGTAACCCATCAGCCACCTTCCGTCTATGGCGTCAACCACCAAGGGGTCTATTTCCAGCTCGAAAAGGGCCTCCAGCATGCGCTGTCGCCGGTCCGGGCGTCGGGCCAGGTTGATAAGAAACACCTGTGAGGAAAAGGGGGGGGTGATGAGGCGTTAAGATTGGGAAGGGTCTTTAGAGGGCATCTAGTCCAACACACACACACACACACACGTCGCCCAGTGCAGGCACACCTGCTTGGTGCTCTTTCCCTCACCTCATCAAACCCGATCTTGGTTGGATGTTTTGGGGGGACGTGGAGGTGCCTGGAACGGGACATGGGAGGCCCGTCGACTGCAAGGGAGAAAAAGAGAGAGAGAGGCAGCCACCTTGCTTTAAAAGTCACCGTTTTGTTTCCCTTTTTTTTCTTTCTTAGAAAGCTTGGGAAGGAAGGGAAGGGAAGGGAAAGGAAAGGAAAGGAAAGGAGAGGAGAGGAAAGGAAGGGAAAGAAAAGGGGAGGAAAGGAAAGGAAAGGAGGTGAAGGGAAGGGAAGGGAAAGGAAAGGGGAGGAAAGGAAAGGAGGTGAAGGGAAGGGAAAGAAAAGGAGGTGAAGTAGGAAAGGAAAGGAAAGGAAAGGGGAGGAAAGGAAAGGAAAGGAAAGGAGAGGAAAGGAAAGGAAAGGAAAGGAGGGGAAGTAGGAAAGGAAAGGAGGTGAAGGGAAGGGAAGGGAAGAAAGGAAGAAAGAAAAGGAAAGGAAAGGAGGTGAAGGGAAGGGAAAAGAAAGGAGGTGAAGAAGGAAAGGAAAGGAGGTGAAGGGAAGGGAAGGGAAGGGAAGAAAGGAAGAAAGAAAAGGAAAGGAAAGGAGGTGAAGGGAAGGAAAGAGGAGGAAAGGAAAAGAAAGGAAAGGAGGTGAAGGGAAAGGAAAGGAAAAGAAAGGAAAGGAAAGGAGGTGAAGGGAAGGGAAACGAAAGGAAAGGAAAGGAGGTGAAGGGAAGGGAAGGGAATGGAAGGGAAAGAAGGAAGGAAGGAAATGAGGACAGAGAAAAAAATGAGAGACGCCAACTTTTTTCA